TATTTATTCTGACAGCAACAGGGGGTCTTGCTCTCAGAATATACATACGTGTGTGCAGTGCTGTTGGATGAGATTTTTCATCCTCCGTTAAAAAAGAACATATATACCCAAGCATGAGGGCCTGGGGTGGTCAGTGGGTGGACTGATCCTATTCATCGGCATATATAAAAAAAAAAAAAAAAAAAATTGGCATGGTTTTCTTCATCCAAATGTGAATAGAGGAATCTTTTAGATTTTTTTTTTTCTTCAGCTCATGGGCTGAGGTCTTGCTCCTTGCAAGACCTCTACTCTTAGCTCCTTTATCTCCTCCTCCCATGCTCGTATCCAAGACTTCTCCAGGGTGTCACCCATCCTCTGGAACTCCCTACCCCAATCTATCAGACTATCACCTACTCTTCTTGCCTTTCGGCGATCACTGAAAACCTTTCTCTTCAGGGAAGCCTTTCCCGCCCTCTGCTAATTCTGGAATCCTCTACTCTTCCAACCACTCCATCCCCCACAGTGACTACCTACTGTACCACTTACCCCTCCCTCCTAGATTTTAAGCTCCAAGGAGCAGGACCCTCAAATCCCTCTTGTATTGTTACTGTATTGTCTCCCACTATAATGTAAAGTACTGAGCAAACCGTTGGCACTATATAAATTCTGTATAATAATAATTTAATTTATGCCCACCATTAGAAGTGGGTGGATGCAGGGTAGTATATTTCTAATGATGGGCATATCGCACACTTTTTTGGCAGAGTGTTTCTCTTTTTTTTTCATTCAGCCCACAGGCTGCATAAAAAAAAGGAACATAACATACAGTATATACCCAACAAGGGACCAGCAACGTATTGTTATATATCGCTGGACTTTGAGTGGTTATACCAGAATGATGCCTGCAACTGGTATCATTTTTTTCTGCTGGTGATCGGATTTCATGTAAAAGAAATACTAGTGACTAATTAGCTTCAGGATTTCTTTCACAAGCAGCGGGTGGAGATGCCCAACCCCCCCCCCCCCCCACTGGCATCCACAACTTTCTCGGGCAGTCCCGTGTCATTGGCATTTCCACCAGCTGACCATAGAGCTGACTGGAGACCGGAATGGGGCCAATCATCGCTATAGTCTAAGATACCAGAATCTATGAGCTTTTCATTACTGCGGTTTCGCCTAATATAAACAGCTCCATTTTAAAATTGGGAAAGCATCTGATCACACTGATCTTGGTGAGATTAGATGATTTAAGGGAAAAGGAGATATCTAGAGTCTAAGAGAACCCAGACTTCTCAGAAAAGAGTACCTGTCACTGCCTATTGCTATCACAGGTGATAGTTACATTCCCTGTGATAACAATAAAAGTGATAAAAAAAAAAAAAGGAAAGGGACAGTGTAAAAATAATAAAAAAAAACCTTGTCCCCCGCATGTACGCGCAACAACATACGCAAGCTTCGGCCCCGTGTAAGTATATAAGCAGCGGTTGAACAATGCATGTGAGGTATTGCCACGAACATCAGGTCAAGGGAAGTAATTCTAGTACTAGACCTACTCTGTAAATCTAAAATGGTAGAATGCAAAGGCTTTTAAAGAGTTGCCTATGGATATTTAAAATGTATATAATTTGTCGCTGTTGCAAAGTTTTAAAGCGTGTCATGTTTGGTACTCCGCATACCATCATCTTTTATATTTCACCAAACAATTGGCCACTTTATTGTGTTTTTGTATATTAAAATTTTAAAAAAGTGCATTTTTAAAAAAAAAAGTGCGTTTGAAAAATCGCTGTGCAAGTGCTATGTGCATAAAAAATTGCAACACCCACCATTTTATTCTCTAGGACATCTGCTTTAAAAAAATATATAATGTTTGAGGGTTCAAAGTAATTTTGTAGCAAAAAATACAGATTTTTTTTTTTCCTTTCATGTGAACAAAAAGTGTCAGAAAAAGTCTCAGTCTTCAAGTGGTTAGAAGAGTGAGTGATGTGTGGCATAAGCTCCTAATGCATAAAATGCCAAGACAACAACCTCCCCCCCCCCCCCAATTACCGCTTTTTGGAAAGAAGATACCCCAAACTATTTGCTGAGGCATATTGAGTCAACAGAAGAATTTATTTTTTTTAGCACGCTTTTGGAAATTGACTTTTTTATTTCTTAAACAGTTGTCATTTAAATTATATATTGCTCACACATGCCATGTATATATGTGGAATTACACCCCAAAATACATTCAGCTACTTCTCTGGAATACTCATACTTCTGGTATGGGGATACCACATGTGAGAGACTTTTTGGTAGTCTAGGACAGGACCCCAAAATCCAATAATCACATTCAGACTTTTAAAGGGCTTTATTTCCTCATTACACTTCCTGACTACCTATCACAGTTTCGGGGGGCCCTGAAATTCCAGAATAGTGCAAACTCCCCCCCCCCAAAAAAAAATGACCCCTTTTTGGAAAGTAGACACCCCATGGAATTTGATAAGAGGCATGGTGAGTAGTTTGCTGTCACATATTTTTTTAAAATTAGGAAAGAAAGTTAAATGAGGAAATTATGCACCTTCAGGCTTTCAAAGTGGTCATTGAAAGTCTCCCAAATGTGGTATCCTCATACTCGATAGAAATAGCAGAATGTATTTTGGGGTGTAATTCCACATATACCCATGGCATGCGTGAGCAATATATCATTTAAATGACAACTTTGTGTAAAAAAAAACAAAACTTTTTGTCAAAACTTGTGGTAAAAAGAAAGTATACCACTGACTCAACATGCCTTTCAGTAAATAGTCTGGGGTGTTTACTTTCAAAAAAGGGGTCATTTGTGGGGGGGATTGTGCTATCCTGGAATTTCCGAATGAAACTGTGATAGGTAGTGAGGAAGTGAAATGAGGAATTTTACGCACCATCAGGCTTTCAAAGGGGTCATTGAATTTTGGGCTCCTGTATGTGGCTAGACTGCCAACAAGACTCACACATGTGGTATTCCCATAATCAGAAGTAGCACAATATATTTTGGGGTGTAATTCCAAATATACCCATGGCACGTGTGTGCAATATACCATTTAGCCGATTCCCAACCACGCTATAGCCGAAGGATGGCTACAGCGTAGTTGTGGAATCCTGGGACGATGTCTAAGGACATCATTCCAGAACCCGCCCCCAGCAGTACGCACTCGGTGCTGCCGGTGATCGCTGTGTCCTATGGACACAGCGAATCATGGGGTACAGTAAACGGCCAATCACGGTGACCTTTTGCCACGTGATCTGCTGTGTCCAATGACACAGCGATCACCGGGTAAATACAGTTGCCGGTTCTCGGCTGCACTTTCCTCACAGCATGAGGCAAGTACTATTGAGAACTGGCAGTTGTCAGCAAAGGAATTGGCACTGATGATCAGTGCCCAGCAGTGCTGCTTACCTGTGCCACCCACCTGTGCCCAGCAGTGCCATCCACCTGTGTCCTGCAGTGCTGCCCATCAGTGCCATCTATCAGTGCAGCATCATCAGTGTCAGCTCATCAGTGCCTATCAATGCTGCCTATCCATGCCACCTGATCAGTGCCCATCAGTGCTGTCTATCCATGCCCTTAAGTGCTGCCTATCCGTGCAGCCTCACCACGCACATCAGTGAAGGAGAAAAATTACCTGTTTGCAAAATTTTACAATAGATACAAAGAAAAATTTTTTTTTTTCAAATATTTTTTGCCCTTTTTTTGTTTTTTAGCACAAAAAATAAAACACCCAGCAGTGATTAAATACCACCAAAAGAAAGCTCTATTTGTGTGAAAAAAAAGATAAACATTTCATATGGGTACAATATTGCATAACCACACAATTGTCATTCAAATGTGACAGCGCTGAAAGCTGAAAATTGGCCTGGGCAGGAAGGGGGTATAAGTGCCTGGTAGGCAAGTGGTTAAATGACAATTTTTGTGTAAAAAAAAAAAAAGTCATTTTCCAAAAATTTGGGGGGGAAAAATAAATCTTCCATGGACTCAACATGCCTCTCAATAAATAGCTTAGGGAGGCCACTTTCTGAAAATGGGTCATTTGAGGGTGTTTGTATTGCTCTGGCATGTTAGCACCTCAAGAAATGTGATAGGCAGTCAAAGTAAAAGCTGTGTAAATTCCAGTACCATAGATTGCAGACGCTATAACTTTCACACAAACCAATTAATATACACTTATTGGGATTTTTTTTACCAAATACATGTAGAAAAATAAATTTGGCCTACATTTATGACTAACTTTGAGTTTATTGGATTTTTTTTATAACAGAAAAGAGAAAATATTGTTGTTGTTTTTTTCCAAAATTTTTGCTCTTTTTTTGTTTATAGCGCAAAAATATAAAAAACCCAGATGATCAAATGCCACCAAAAGAAAGCTCTATTTGTGGGAAAAAAAGGACATAAATTTCATTTGGGTACAGCATTGCATGACCGCACAATTATTAGTTGAAATAACAGAGCGCCAAATATCAAAAAATGGCCTGGTCAGGAAGGGGGTAAATCTTCCAGAGGGCAAGTGGTTAATCAATATTCCTCTGCTGGCATGATACCTAAACAATATTTAGAGGCCCTGGTGGTTATCATACCTAAACCTGGTAAGCCAGCTGATAATCCTGTCAATTAGAGTCCCATATCTCTATTAACCACTTGCCCTCCTGAGGATTTACCCCCCTTCCTGACCAGGCCATTTTTTGTGTTACAGCACTGAGTTAATTTAACTGACAATTGCACGGTCATGTAACACTACACCCATATGAAATGTATGTCTTTTTTTTTCCCCATGAATAGGTCTTGAGATTTCTTTCGGTGATATTTGATCGCCTGTGCAGGTTGTGTTTTTTTTGTTGTTTGGTTTTTTTTTGCGCTATAAAAAAGGTCTAACACTTTTGAGAAAAAAAACTATTTTTGACTTTTTGCTATTAAACATGTCCAGTAAAAACAAATCAAATTTCATCATAAATTTAGGCCAAAATATATTCTGCTACATGTCTTTGCTAAAATAAAATCCCAATACGTGTAAATTAATTGGTTTGCGTGAAATTTATAGTGTTTATAAATGGCGGTGTGTATATATACTGGAATTTTTATTTTTACTAGTAATGGCAGTGATCAGCAACTTTATAGCGGGACTGCGGCGGGCATTCTGACACTGGGGGGAACTGACTTGGTGTCACTGACATCCCCAGTGACACCAAAAAAGTGATCAGTGCTAAAAAAAATACACTGACAGTGTACTAATGGCACTGGACAGGAAGGGGTTAACATGAGGGGCGATCAAAGGGTTAACTGTGTGCTGGGTGTGTTTTACTATGGAGCCATGTGTTTGTGCTTCACTGTAAGCACACTGCTACGTATGTGCACAAGCTGACAATGAAAACTGTTTTGTTTACAAACAGTTCTTCTCCCCATTAGAGATCCTCGGCAATCACCGGGCGCAGGCGAGTAATCACACCGCTGGGACCCGGTGATTGACAGCCACAGCCAAGGATGGCGGCTCTTGTAGGGTGCGTGCGCCCCCTACACAGAAATGCAAAATCACGTATATATACGTGATTTTGCACACCCATGCCACCCTGTAGCAGTATTTCTGCTACAGGGAGGATGGGAACTGGTTAAATACAGTTACCAAAACCCTATGCAAAACGTATTGCTTGACGCCTAGCATCTGTCATACCTCATTTATTACATATGGATCAGGAATGATTTGTGGCTGGCAGACAAACTTCAGATGGCACCAGACATTTCACCGATCTTATTGAGTGGGTCGAGCATCATCAAATGACTTCTCTGCTTCACTCTCTTTATGCAGAGAAGGTGTTCGATAGAGTTTATTGGTCTTATATGGAGTCTGTACTGGCAACATGGGCATGTTTTCATCAGCCATTTTGAGCCTTTACTCCTCCCCAAGCGCACACATCTGAACTTTGCTTACTCTTTCGGACCCTTAGAATTACAAATGGAACCCGACACGGCTGTCCACTTTCCCCACTAATCTTAGCCCTGGTCAGGGAGCCACTGGCATAGTTAATTTGCTCTGCACTCTTGGCCTCTGGCATTACTATCAGTGATACTGAACATTAAATTGGCTTGTATGTTGACTAAATTATCAGTGCCCTAACTAATCCCATTCAATCTCTTCCTAAATTACAACAAATTATAGATCAATTTAGTGTCATTTTTCTTTATAAAGTGAATCACACTAAATCCTTTATATAAGATATAGGCCTTGATAACCATACCAAACATATCATTTCATTAAATTCACCCTTCTTGTAGACCTCCTCCTCCTCCTTCTTTTCTAATGTATTTAAGGACCCAACTCAATTCAGCAGCAACTAATCTTCTTCGTACCAACTTTTTTTTAACTTCCTGGAGAAACTCCAATGCCTTTCCCAGGACCTAAGCCATACCTGTGCCTCTTGGGCAGGTAGAATTGTATAAGCCAAAATGTACTCACTACCACATATTAGTAAACTTCAAGTGCTTTTTAGTACATTTATATGGCAAAGCAAACAATCCAGAAACAAAAGATCCATTCTTACCACACCGGTCCAGGGTTGCCAACTGTCCATAAATTTGTGGACAGTTTAATTTAGGGTTGTTTACAAACTTTCCGTAAATGTCCATTACTGATAGAGGCTGCTCGTAAAAAATTTGCATCAGCTCACTGTGCCGCTGCCCTGCCCTGCTGCCTGCTCAACCTGCTGCTCTCGGTACCTGCCCCCTCTGCCCTGGCCTCCTGTCCTGTCTGAGACCACTGTGCCACTGCCAGCCAACTAGCCAGATAGACCTAGCCCAGACCCCAGCCACCACCACTACCAGCCATCCAGAGAGCCACAGTGACAACTAAACCAGATCATCTGTGCCCACCAGTTGCAGAGATTGTGCCTACACTGTCCACAGTCCCGTACTAGCTATTGGACTTGGTATGTAATGTATTGTATGCAAATCTGAGATCATGTGTGCATGTGCAAGACAAGTGCAATCACAAACTACTCAGCATGCTGAGCCTGTGAGTGCAAAACAGTGTATTTTGAATACAAGATTGCAAATGGCCAAGTGACCAGACCACCTGTTGTGCCTACTGCCAGTGCCACCACCACCAAAATTGTAAAATCATGTGTACAAGTGCAAATTAGTGCTGTGAGTGCAAAATTGTGAATGTTAAGACAAAATTGCAAATGGCCAACATACTGGGGCAATAATAAATTAATGCAATTAATGGAGTAGTCTATCAGGGGCAATAATGAATGAATGGAATGGAGCAGTCTATGGGAGCAAGCAATGACTGCAATAAAGTGGAGGGGCACCGCCACCAATAGTGATAGCTATACTATCATGTTTGGTTTTATCTCCTTCTCCCTCCCTCCCTCTTTGTGCTGTTGGGTTGGATCTCCCTAAATTTCCAGTAATGCCTGCTTTAACCAGCCTATGGCACGGTGCCATTATTGCAACCAACTCCTTTGCCTGCTGCCCTCCTTGGATCAAGTAAACTGCACCAAACACAAGGTCAGCTGTCAGCCTGCAAGCAGAAGTACTGCCTGTTGCAACTCCTCCGAAAGCATTCCCTTGGCTTCATATCTCGGTAAGCAAATACACAATTTGTTGCAGTGAGCTTTGTCAAGAAATTATCTGCTCTAGTGAGTCTCTTGTTTTGGTGTTGTTCTCCCTCTTTGTGCCATAGGTTGGTTCTCCTCTCCCTGGACTCTCAGTTGGCCACCAGGGCACCACTGCCACCAACGCCTTGCCTGCTGGTCTCAGCCCTCTCATCAAATTCTCTGCACCAAACAGAAGGTCTGCTGTCTCCCTACAAGTACAATCACTGCCTGCTGTAACTCCTCCTGAAGCATTCTCTTTGGCTTCATATAACAGTAGCAAATACACAATTTGCAGTGGTGTGCTTTGCCAAGACATTATATGCTCTAGTGAGTCTCATGGTGTTATTTTCTTTCTTCTTGTGCCATTGGTTGCTTCTCCTCTCCCTGGACTCCCAGTTGACCAGTCTCAGCCTGCTCCACCTCTGCTTTCAATGCCTTGCCTGCTGCCCTCAGTCCTCCATCAAGTGAACTGCACCAAATACAAGGCCTGCTGTCCAACAAGTACAGGTACTGCCTGCCTGCTGCAACCTCTGTCCTGAATTATTCCCTTTTGGCATCATACAGTACTGTAAGCAAATTGAGAATTTTTTGAAGTGTGCTTTCTCAAGAAATGATCTGCTGTAGTCTCATGTTTGCCGTTCTCCTTCTCCCCCTGTGTGCTGTTAGGTTCTACTGGACCAACGCCACTGCTGTTGGCCAGCCACTGGCACTGCTTCTGTCGGGATCCCTTTTATTGGAGAGCTGTCCTCTGGTAAGTATGTCATTTTTGGAAGCCAGTGGTTTGTGACTACTTTTGTTGTGACTGTGGAGAAGGGAACTTGGGTGGGGACTGAAGTCACAGAAATCTGATTAATGTTTTTGTTTCTTCCCTAGAAAAGTCTACAGGACTGAGAAGCCAGCTGTATGGCTCTACAGACACCACCACAAGATTAGACAACTAGCTCATCTAACAGTAAGTGGTTATCTTTCACACCAATACATTACACACACACATTTAGTCTTTGCAGCCTACTGTATAAGGCAAGTGGGCAACACAGACAAGCATGATTTCTGCCTTCCTCACTCATGACACTCATTGCGGTCATGGAGTGGGGGGCCCTGGGCTGGTTGGGTGGCCCTTCTGCTCTCCATCTCTCCCCCCACCACCACGACTGCGCATACGCAGCTTGTTGGGATGCATGTGCTTTGGCACATCTACACTGGTCTCCAGGCGCGTAGATGCCTGGAGGCAGTATGGAAGAGACTATCTTAAGCCTGCATATATATTCCAGCCAGACAGCTGATTATTTCCTCTGCTGCTTGACTTAGGTGAAAACTACATATATCTTTTCTATTTCAATGGTTTTTATTAACTTTTTAAACAGTATAAAACAGAGGCAATAAAACACGCCCACGCAGGGGCTATCAATTGCACAGATAAAAAAAATGCAAAATAAACAAAATTAAAAAAAAGGAAAAACAGTGCTCTAACGCCAACGGGGCAAAAGGTACGCCCACGCAGGGGCTATCAATGGCACATAAGTTACAAAACATTAATGTAACTGACTATAACAACTAAAGGCAGCTGTCTAGTCACACCAAAAACAGAGAGAGAGAGAAAGGAAGAAAGAGGAAAAAAAAAAAAAAAGGGCAAAGAGCAGGGGTCCAAGAGCGCCAATACCGAATGCCATTACATCCCCAGACTAGCCGGGGGGAGTGTGGGAAAGGCATATTGCAACCACGGCTCCCATATTTTCAAAAATTTACGTTGGGAGTTGTTGCGGATACTTGATATCTGTTCGTTGAGCAGCATAGTGGCCATACGATCCTGCACCCCCTGAAGAGGGACAAACGGACTCTTCCAGGCCTGAGCAATTGTTCTAGTGGCCGATAAAAACAAATAGGAAGCCAACTTCTGCTGGTGAGCCAAGAGGCCCGGTATGGGGCAATGAAGCAAGGCATACCGAGAGATGGAGAGATGGAACAAGGTGAAAAGGAGGCCAAACACACGAGACCAAAAACGAAACAGTCTCGGGCATGACCACCAGATATGCAATATATCTCCACGATGGCCACAACCCCAAAAACATTGATCACTACAGGCAGGGTTAGCCCGGGCCAACCGAGCCGGAACCCAATACCAACGAAACAATACCTTATAGGCTGCCTCCAGTGTGGTCGTATTAAATGAGCATTTAGCTATGAGTGACCAGGCCTTATTCCAGTCCTCCGGATCCACAGCCACTCCCAGGTCGCGCTCCCACTGAACAACATATGAAACAGAAGTATGCGACGAGCGTCTGTTCAGAGCTGCATAAAGAAGGGATATAAAGGCCCAGAGCGCCCGGCGCTGTTGGCAAAGCTGTTCAAAGGCAGATTTCTGGTACGGGAAAGCAGAAGTGCCCCGCAGCGAGAGCAACCAGTGTCGCAATTGAAGGTATCGAAAGAATTCCACGGAGGGGACATTCCGGGATTCCCGAAGAGAGTTCCAGGTGGGAAAGGACCGAAAAATCAAAAAGTGTCGAAAAAACCATTAGTCACCCACCAAGAAAACGCCCTTGGGTGATCTAAACCCGGTGGGAAAAGAGGGTTGTTAATAATTGGGAGCAAAGGCAGAAAAGGTGACATCAGGCCACCAGAGTAACGTACCGAGTCCCAGACTTGTAAGCCATGAAGTAACATCGGACTCAGTGCAATAGGGCGCAGGGCAGGGGGAAGCCATAGAAGCGTCGACGTTGCGATAGGGGCACAATTAGGTAGTTCCAACAGGACCCAGAGGGAAACGTCGGAAGAGGCGTGCAACATAGACAGCGGGGCAATCTGGCTAGCCTGATAATACTTAGTTAC